CCACCGATCTGGACGAGCTCACAGAGACTGTAACATCTTATATCAGTTTCTGTGAAGACATGTGCATTCCTACCAGGACTCATCTAACTTACAACAACGTCAATCCATGGTTCACTGTAAAACTCAGACAGCTCCGTCAGGCCAAAGAAGATGCTTACAGGAAGGGGGACAATGTCTTGTATAAACAGGCCAAATACACACTGGAAAATGAGATCAGAGTGGCAAAGAGGAGTTATTCTGAAAAACTAAGGACTCAGTTCACTTCCAGCGACTCAGCATTCAGTGTGGAAAGGTCTGAAAGAGATCACCAACTACAAGACACCATCCCCCAGCACTGTGGAGAATCAACAACTGGCAGACGATCTGAACGAGTTCTGCTGCAGGTTTGAAAAAACACCATTAACACCTCCTGCAACCCCCCTCTCCCCCACATCTGCACTTCAAATCAGTGAAGACGAGGTGCTCCAGGTCTTCCGGAAGCAGAAAAGGAAAAAAGCACCAGGCCCAGATTGTGTGACACCAGCCTGTCTGAAATCCTGGACTTCAGCTCAGCGTTTAACACTATCATCCCAAACCTCCTCCTGCCCAAACTAACTCAGCTCTCCGTGCACACCTCCGTCTGTCAGTGGATCAACAGCTTCCTGACAGACAGGCAGCAGCTAGTGAGGCTGGGAAAACTCACATCCAGCACCCGTATAATCAGCACTGGAGCTCCTCAGGGTTGTGTTCTCTCTCCACAGCTCTTCTCCCTCTACACCGATGACTGCACATCTAAAGACCCCTCTGTCAAGCTCCTGAAGTTTGCAGACAACACCACACTCATTGGCCTCATTTAGGACGGTGACGAGTCTGCTTACAGACAGGAGGTTAAAGAGCTAGCTGTCTGGTGCAGTCTCAACAATCTGGAGCTCAACACGCTCAAAACCGTGGAGATGATAGTGGACTTCGGGAGAAACCCCCCTGCTCTTCCCCCACTCACCATCATGAACAGCACTGTGACTGCAATGGAGTCATTCAGGTTCCGGGGCACCACAATCTCTCAGAACCTAAAGTGGGACACTCACATTGACTCACATTGTGAAAAAGGCCCAGCAGAGGTTGTACTTTCTTCGCCAGCTGAGGAAGTTCAACCTGCCACAGGAGCTGCTGAAACAGTTCTACTCTGCTATAATTGAATCCATCCTCTGCACTTCTATA